TCAAGGGGGGCTGGTTGATTTGATACCAATGAATGTAATGGTTCAAGGGGGGTTGGTTGATTTGATACCAATGAATGTAATGGTTCAAGGGGGCGCTGGTTGATTTGATACCAATGAATATAATTGTTCAAGGGGGGCTGGTTGATTTGATACCAATGAATGTAATGGTTGAAGGGGGGCTGGTCGATTTGATACCAATGAATGTAATTGTGCCAGGGGGGCTGGTTGATTTGATAGCAATGAATGTAATGTTTCAAGGGGGGCTGGTTGATTTGATACCAATGAATGTAATTGTTCAAGGGGGGCTGGTTGATTTGATAGCAATGAATGTAATTGTTCAAGGGGTGCTGGTTGATTTGATACCAATGAATGTAATGGTTCAAGGGGGGCTGGTTGATTTGATACCAATGAATCTAATTGTGCCTCTCGCCCCCCTCTCGCCCCCTGCCACCCCCTGTCGCCCCCTCTCGCCCCCCGATCCAAAAGCCCTCTGACCTTCCCGTTCCCCTGCCTCGCCCCCCTCGCCCCCCCCCTCTCGCCCCCTTTTCCACCCCCTCTCGCCCCCTCTCGCCCCTCCGTCCATGTTAAGAATTATGCTTCTGACCTCTGGGCCCCCCCTCGCCCCCCCCTCTCCCCCCCACCCCCCCCTCTCGCCCCCTCTCGCCCCTGATCCAAAACCCCCTCGTTTGGACCCCCACTCTCGCCCCCTCTCGCCGCCCTCTCGCCGCCCTCTCGCCCCCTAAAATGCGGGGGGTCCAAATGAGGGGCTTTGGGGGGGTCCACATGAACCCCCGGCCCTATACCAGCACCCAGTCCACTTGATTGTGTGCACATCCTTCTGATGCAACAATTTCCACAGGATGTCATTGGAGGGATTGTAACTATATATGACAATGGTAACCATGCTGGCACGCCTTTCTCCGCTGCGACCTGTTTGCCACAAATCCTGAATAGGCAGGACATAATGCGAGCAGTAGGGCGTGACAATGACAGGACACCTTCAGGCACCATCAGTACCACCTGGTTTGGAGGTCAAGAGATCCTGGAGGCAACTGAGTTTGCAGCAATTCATGGCCAAACCTTCAACTTGCACATTCATAGACCCTCGTTAGTCTCATGGGACGACAGGGATCAGAATGATGATCACCCTGCACTGCTCCAAATTCCAAATCAATCTTTGCTCCGGTTTGAAGCTCCAAGTTAATGATCTGGGGTCAGCTAGTGAAGTTGTTGAGCGCACTGGAACTCGCGAGCAGTCCACAGTTTTGCAAGCTGTCACGGCCGCTGAGGACAGACACCAGTTTCCATCTTTCATTGAGCCTAAAGGTGAAGTCTCTGAGCAAACTGCACGAAAAGAACTGAGAACCTTTGGCCTTGACACTCAGGCATTTGTCATTGATCAGAAGGCAGCAGTCTTTTGTCGACACAAGGCCGTTGACCAGGCACATGATGTTGTCTTTGTTTGTCTTGCCGAACACAGGCACCAGAAAAGGTACCTTGCACACTCCATGACCACAGTCGAGGCAGTAAGTGATGTTTCATGCATGATGTACCTGCACACAGGGCTCTGAGAAAGCTGTCATCTTGGCTAGGCTTCGACATGCCCAGGCTTGCACAGAAATGCTCTTCAACGAACCCAAAGGGCACTTCGAGGAATCTGACAAGCCTCCACGGGTACAGAAACCATGGCCTGCACTACAGCCTACCTATCGCCACCAACCGATGTTTCATGCATCAACTGCCGCAGCCTCCGAATGTCTGTTGGATTTAGGAGTGCCGCCGAAGGACCTGCAAAGTTTCTTTCAAGATTCATCGTGGCCATTGTCTCAACTGATTGAGGGTTTAGATTTGCCTAAATGCAGTTTGACAGCATGCAAGGGTCTCGTTGACGATCAACAATTTGATCGACTGCTGATCCATACGGACGGTTCCTCTCATTCGGGTGGACTGCATAGATCACCTGAGTTCATAGAAGCCACCGCCATCCCTGATGCTTGGGCATTCCTGGTCGTGGGAGAAGTGCATCAACCAGTGGGCGATTCCAGACTCACCATGATCGGGTGGATGGCACAACAAGTCCGGTACGACGACTCTAGTCCGTCTTTCATTGGAGCACTGTCGGCAAATCCCTTGATAGCTGAGAGAGAAGCTTTGACATGGGCCTTCATGTGGAGAATCATGCTGAACAGCACCATCCCGACCACCTTTCGGACCGATTCATGGACCTCGCAAGGTCAGGCTCAGGGTACGATTGGATCAGCCACATGTGACTTGTCTTTTCAGATGCTACGTGGCTGCTATCAAATGCTCGAAACAGCATTGCCTCCCGGAGCCCTTCAAATCGTCCATCTTTTTGGACACCTGCAAGAACCCTGGAATGAATTCGTCGACCATGTGGCGAAGAAAGAAGCGCATTCCAGTTATTTCCTGAAGAGGCCACATTTCAATCTGTCTAAATGGAAGCAGCTTGTCCCCCATTTATGGTTGATTTTTGCAAGGCAGGCAGGCGCCCCAGATTTCTCTGGAGGGGGTTTCAATGTTCCTCCACCGGACTTGCCTGGCCAGACGACCGAAGAGACCAATCCTACAGGTCCTGACGCTTCCAGCCACACCAATATCGATATTACCATCAGCCTAGCCACCGCAAATGTCTTGTCACTGTGCAAGCCTGACCAGGGGCATGCCGGCAAGACCGCTTTCTTGCGGAAGCAATTTGCAGATTTGCACCTCACTTTTCTTGGATTGCAAGAAACCAGAGCAGACAATGGTGCCTCACAAGTTGATGGTGTGCTTCGTTTGGGTTCCGGCCACGATAGAGGAATTTTTGGTGTAGAACTTTGGTGCAACTTTTGCTGTCCCATTGGGTACATCGCCAAGGCACCTGTATATTTGCAGAAGTCGCATTTCAATGTGGCACATCATGACTCCAGACGCATTTTAGTGCACATTGCATGCCCTTATGCACCACAAAGCGGCAAGCCTTTCCATGAGAGGCAGGAATGGTGGACCGAAACTCAGACCATCCTTGATGCAAGGATCAAGCCAGCAGAACCAGTCTTTGTGTGTTTGGATGCCAATGCACCGCCGGGACCGTGTGATCACAGACATGTCTTTTCCAACGGTTTTGCGCCAGCTTCTGGCACGGCCCTCCTCAGAGAATTCTATGATCACTTTGATTTGTGCCTCCCTTCCACATCTGGCAAGCATTCAGGAGAGGTCGCTACTTGGACTGCACCTGATGGGCTGTCATCACATGTGATTGATTACGTGCTTGTCCCAACTGCGCTTTTTGATGCTGTCACGCAATCCCAGCTCCTGGACCGCTTTGACCTCGGCAACACTTGCGTTGACCACACACCGGTAGGGCTTGAAATGTGATGGCAAACCAAGCTCTTTTGCTGAGGTACCCCGATTTGATCGCAGCATGATTGCCCACGCAGACCTGCATGCGCCTTTGAGCATGCGTGAGGTGAAGCCCTGGTCTTGCAGTGTTGATGTCCATTTTGCAGACCTTCAGGAACATTTGCTCAATCGCTTGCAAGTGCATTGTCCGAGGCCTCGAACTGCGGCCAAAAACATTAAGGGAACAAAGATCCATTGCCGCAAGAATTTGAAAATCAACAGCAAACTGCTCCAAAGGGAAACTTTGGCGCGTGTCTTTTCGGCATGGCAACAGACTGTTGGCAAAGAGGACTCTGTCACGCTGGACATGTCATTCAATTTTGGCACTTCGCTCCGTTGCTTTGCCGTGCACCTCACATGCCAATATCATCGATTCTCCAAACAGCTGAGGACCAGCATTGCAAAGGCCAAATCCTTGCTGTTGAAACACACACTGGATGAACTGCCGAGAAACACACCTGCCAGTCATATCCAACAAGTCCTGAGGGCATACACCGGTCCAAACCAAAAGCTACGGCAAGGCATGACACCTCTACCAGCCATCAAAGACCAGCATGGTGAATGGTGCTCGCGGGCCCAAGACACTGTCAACAGATGGGCTGACTACTTCGCTGGACTCGAAGGTGTCGTTCGCATCGAGGAGCACACGCAGAGAAAGGAATGGATTGAAAACTTGCAAAAGCTTTCAGCCACCAACCTGCACTTCCCCATTGAGGGAAAAAGCAGAAGGATGTGTGCAGTGCCTTTCGCTCCATTTTGCTGTCATCCAATATTAGAAAGGCCTTTCATAAGACAATGAGATGCAAGCAATCATTGATCTACGAAGCCTTTTTACAGCATCAACAGTTGGGAGGGCGCAAGAAGGTGCCAGTTGTCCTAGGAACTCATTTGACCAAGGCGTTCCTGCGCACGCACCGTGCCAGACAACATGCAACTGCAATTCTGGTTGTTGATTTGGAAGCCGCCTTTTATAAGGTTGTGCGACCGCTTGCCCTCTCTGGCTATTGGGATGACGAACTTTCAGCCTGCATGACGGCGCGCCTCAATTTGCCGGCGGACACTCTCCATGCACTGCACAACAATCTGCAACAGCCTGGGGCCACATTGACGGCTGGGATGGATGCACGCTCACGCAGAGCCCTCCAGGCTGTCCATACGGACACCTTCTTTCAAGTCTCCTCGCAGGAAGACAGAACCCAGACGCACCTCGGAACAAGACCGGGAGATGCGTATGCGGACGTTGTTTTCGGGTATTTGATGGCTCGTATCTTGCACAAGTGTCAAGACCAGCTTAGTCAACTACAAGTTCTTTCCGAAATTCCAGACATGGAGTCGCCAGTCCTCTTTGGACGTGCAGGCCATCAGAGACCATCCCCAGTGCCTTTTGTAGGACCAGTCTGGATGGACGATCTTGCTCTTTGCCTCTGGGGCCAAACCACAGATGCTGTGGTCGCCAAACTTGGAGTTGCAACAGGGGTATTGTTAGACCTCTTTCGGGAGCATGCCATGAGCCCTAACCTCTCGCGAGGCAAGACAGAGCTCATCCTGACGCCCAAAGGTCCCAAGTCCAATGTGTGGAAAAAATGACTGTATGGACCAACTGCCTCGGGCTTTTTCCCAGTTGTAGGAGAGGCTGAAACATATCAGGTACCAGTCGTGTCAACATACCTTCATTTGGGCAGCCTGATTCACCATTCAGGCGCAACCAAGCAGGAGGCGAAGAGACGCATCGCCATTGCCAATGCTTGCTTCAACCGGCATCGTAGGCTTGTTTTCCAGAATCAACAACTGCCACTCGACAAGCGCATCGACTTATTCCAAAGCCTGGTCATGAGTAAACTCTCTTACGCCATGGAAACATGGAAACTCCAGGACTGGCAGACAAGGGAGTACGTGCATGCAGCCATCATGCGTCTCTACCGACGCCTCCTGAAGGCTGCCCAGATGAGCATCTGTCAGATGGCATGATATTGGTGACATTGGGACGGCCATCTCCAACAGGGGTTTTCCAACATGCACGTCTCCGATATCTGGCCACTTTGATGCAAGTAGGCGAACAAGCCTGCTGGGGATTGTTGAATCAAGACCAAGCCTGGCTCGATTTGGTGCAAGATGACTTAGTTTGGATGTGGCATCAGTTGGCCAACACCAGTGCGCTGGGCGATCCGGCACAGCACTTTGAACGCTGGCTGGAAATCATGGCGAAGGCTGGTCCGACGTGCCAGCACCCATGCCATCCAACAGAGGGCCAAGCTGCACCGCTGCCGCCATCTTGATGTGAGACAGATTTTGTAGAAGCATGATTATTGGACCTTGCCGGAGCCCACTGATCGGGTAAAAGCCAGTGATCCCAATCAATCCCATTTTGGATGCATGCTGTGCAGACGTAGTTTCCGTTCCCTAGGGCGCGAGGGTGCACACATGTTTCGCAAACATCAAGTGGTTCATCCAGTCAGGTTTTTGTTCGAGAGCACGCAATGTGGTGCGTGCCTTAAAGAATATGTCACGGATGGAAAAATGAAGACGCATTTGATCCGCTCGACCCCATGCCGAACATATTTGCTATCACATGGCGGACGCTACCACCCTGCGCCCGGCCTGGGCTCGAGTGAGGACCAGCAACGCCACATTGAGCATGACAACAAACTGCCACCTCTGCAAGCACTGGGACCTGTTCTGCCGCCACCGAGACAGCGTGACTTGAACTTGGTCCATTGGGACATGCATGATGCCATTGTGGAGTCGGCCTTGACTCTGGAGGCCGAAGATGATTTCAGGCTGGCCTGAGCTTCCGAGAAGCTCGTTTTGAGAAGCTCGAAATTGAGAAGCTTCATTTTGAGGCTGGCAGCTTCGTTTTGGAGCTTCTGGCTTTGACCCTAAAAACACCATGTTTAGAGCTTCTGAGAAGCTCCATTTTGGAGCTTCTGGAAGCTCCAAAATGGAGCTTCTGGAAGCTCCAAAATGGAGCTTCAATGTGCAAGTTTGAAACATACATAAGACAGTGGATCAGAACTCAAAGCTGCAGCAGCTGAAGCAACTTTTTGACAGAAGCTTAGGTGAATTGTCTGTGTGGAAGCTTTTTAGCTTCTGCTTGGAGCCTCTTGCAAGCTTTTCTCACCATCAGGGTTCGAAGTGGCAGGTCAAAAGCTAAAGCCTATTGCAAGCTCCCAGTTTAACACTTCAAGTTGTTGACAAAAATTGTTCAGCCTTTTCAGGCTCTTGCCTCTGCCCAATCAAATCAACCCAGCATTTTTGGCCCACAGCTTGTGTGGGCTCAAAGCCTTGGACAAACTTGGTGTTGGTCCACCTCTTCCTTCAGCTTCCCTAGCTCATTGTTTTTTTTGCCATCTCTGGCAGCACTGGGTGAAAGGGAAGAAGGCAGGGCTGCAAGCTTGGAAACCCACTTCCCTTTCAAGTCTTCATTTTGCTTTTGCAAGCTCTGCAGCTCTTCCAGACTGGCAGTCAGCTGCTTGCCATGCTCTGCTGCATCCTTGTTGGCCAATGTCTCTTTCAAAACTAACAGCTTGTCCACTGATGAGCTGAAAGTTTTGACAGCCTTGCTCAGGCTTTGGTATGCTTTCTTGTAAGCCTTTTCAGGCTCTACATCTTCTTCTTCTGCATCACTTTCTGCAGCTTTTTTCAAGCTTTTCTTTCCCAGCACAACTTGATGTGAACTTTAGTCTGCCATGAGGGCTTTCTCAGCTTTGTCGAAGTCATGCTGATCTTCCATCTCAACCCTTTGCTCAGCCTTTGTCAGGCTCTCATTGGCCTTCTCCTCTTCCTGAGACCTGTCTTCTCATAGTAGTACTGTTTCACCCCCATCTTTGCCCAGGCTTTGACTTCATGGGGGCGCTCTTTTAAGCCTTCACAGGCTGATTGACAGAGCAAGTCAAAATCCTTCTGGGTTGGATCAGCACCTTCCATCTTGCCAATCTGGGAGGCTGTGAACCAACCCCTGGTTTTTGTCTCTTTCACTGTCAGCCTTTCCAGGCTCTCCTTGTGCACAGCCTTCTTGCTTTGGGTGGGGTCCAGCAAAAAGACATTATAATAAAAATGCCTCTTGCCTTGCTGGCCACCACCCTGAGCCTCTTTCCAGGCTTGGGGAAGTTCATGCTTCCCAGCTTTTTCAAGCTTCTTCAAGGCATAGCTCATATCATTCCAAGCTGCCTTGGAAGGAGCTGCCAGCACCTTCGAGCTCTTAGCCTTTGCAGGCTTGTGAGCCTTCTCAGGCTTGAAAGCTTTTTCAGGCTTGTCCTGGGAGCCACTGGCTGGCGCAGCCCCCTGTTCACCATCTGCCTTTCCAGGCTCTCCTGCAGCCTCTCCAGATTCCTCTTCTTCATCTGCCTTTCCAATCTCTTCTGCAGTCTCTCCAGGCTCTTCTTCACCTGCCTTTCCAGGCTCTTCTGCAGCCTCTTCAGGCTCTTCTTCACCTGCCTGCCTTCTTTTCCTCTTTGGCGGTGTTAGCTTTTCCCTTTTCACAGATGCTGGTCTCTTCATGGCGATGGTTTGCAGGCCAGCTACCTAAAAGAAGTTTGGCTTTTCACAAAAAGCTGCAGCACGCACATTCCCCTGACCTGGAGCTGGAAAAATTGAGGTACCAGAGGGTGAAAAAAAAGCAAAAGTCTGAAAAGTCTAAAAGTCTTAGTCACATATCTGGATTTATAATTAGATTTAGTATTGGTGATCAAAAGTCTGAAAGTCCAAAAGTCTTAAAAGTCTGAAAAGTCTAAAAACCAATCTTGTTTTCGATGTTTTTTTGGAAAATGCTCATCCATTCTTAGGGGGTTCCACACTTGCATCAGTCTCTTTACAGAACATCAAATTGCTTTCGTGGTGGAAACAAAAACCGCTTTTTTGGTGGAAAAGTTGTTGGGGATACCCACAGAAACACAAACCACAGAACCCCCAACCAAGCCAGGTGAGCAGCCAGCATTTTTTCAAAAAACACAGCTGCTGCAGATCTCAAACTAGCAGCACTGCACTACAGCCTTTGCAGGCTGAAGCCTTTTCAGGCTAATGCCTTTTCAGGCATGGCAGCCTTTGCAGGCTTTAGCCTTTTCAGGCTGCAGCTGTCACAGCAGCAGTTCCTTCTCCAGCCCCACCACCTCCACCACCTCCAGCACCTCCATCACCTCCATAGCCATCACCTGGCTCATCAGGCTTTACTCCACCCTTCTCAGGCTTCTTGCTTTTTCTTCTTCTCTTTTTCTTTTTTTCTTAGCCTTTTCAGGCTCTTCGCTATCCTCCTCATCATCATCCTCTTCTTCCTCCTCCTTTATCTTGGCTTTCAACATTTTCTCCACCTCCAATTCCTTTTTGTCGCCCACAGGCACTTTTGCCAAATTTGGAGGTGTCCCCTTCCACCTTGGCCCATGCTTGCCAGGCATGGGGCTGTCAGACCTCCTTTTTGGCTTGGGGTCATAGCTCCATTCTGAGCTAGATTCGTCCCCAGGTGTGCTTGCAGCCTTTGCAGGCTCTTCCTTCTTGCCTTTCTCAGGCATCTCTGAATCTGAGCTGGCTTCTGCCGCTTTTTTGGCTTTTTTCACCAATTCCATCATTTCTTTCTTAAAGCCTTTTGCAAGCTCAGTTTTTTTTGCCATGAGATGATCAGGGACTGGCTCACCTCTTTGTTCACAGCCCCTTCTCTGATGCCTTTTGCAGGCACTGCCCCAGCCCCTTGTGAAGTACCGCTCATTGCTCCACTTGGGGTGCCAGGGGCTCCTGCCTTCTTCAGGCTCCCAAGTAGCAGGCCCACTGTACCCAGTGGAACTGCTGGAAGGAGTGCTGCCACCACAGCCACTAGCATCCATCTTCTTTCGTCTTCTTTTTTGTTGTTGGTGGCAGGAAACCACACACTCAAAAATACATGCAGCCTTTTGCAGGCTTCTTCAGGATCAGCTGGAAAATCAGCAGCTGTGCAGTCTGGAACACTGCCTTTGATCAATGCAGCCATTCTTTTTACTGGCTCCTTTAAGCCTTTTGCAGGCTCCACTTGCTGTAGAGGCAACATCTCCCACTAAAGGCTTTGCTGAGTTATGCTGTATGTTTGTGGCAAAAGTTGGTAAATGCTGCTTGTCGATATGCTGTATGTGCTGTGAATGTTTCCATGTCCCCTCCTCGTTTAAACTGCTATTAAGTGCACATGTGTTGCAAGCTGTAAGCTTGAACCTTTGAAGAAAGCAGCATCAGGCAAACCTAGTTTGGAGCTTAACATTTACCTTCCAAGAAGCTCTTCTGAGAAGCTCCAAAATGGAGCTTCCAGAAGCTCCAAAATGGAGCTTCCAGAAGCTTGTTTGGGAAGCTCCATTTTGAAGCTTCTAGCATCATTATGTTGAAAAAACCAAGAAGCGCTTCTTGGAGCTAGAAGCTCCAAAATGAGGCTGGCAGCCCTTTTCAAGAAGCTTCAGAATGAGGCTGCCAGCCCCAAAACAAAGCTGCCAGCCTCATTTTGAGACTTGCAGATTGAGCTTCCAGGAGGCTAGAATCCCAAATTGGAGCTGCCAGCTCCAAAACGAAGCTTCTCGGAAGCTTAGCTGGGGTGGAATTAATTGGGGATTGTGTGCTGATTGTTGGTGCTTGCACAATGCATACAGGCCTTCAAGGTAGACATTTTTTCATATTACTATCTTACATCGGTTCCAATCATGTTGTAGTATCATTGGCTATCTAGTGGACATGCTTAGGGTAAACATGCATGCATGATATAATATATATATATGTATATCAAACAACCCTGTGGCGCAACCGTTTCATGTTTCTGCTGGCTTGCAAACTAAAATTAGCCCCTCACAACTTCCTGCTTGAATTCCAAGAAGGCATTGGTTGGAAGGGGCTTGACACCGTTCATGTCTTGGAGAAATTGATTTGCATTTTGATTGAAACATGATGATTTTTGACTGCAAAGAGCTTTTGGTCCAAACAGCGTCACTGGCATCCTGCACCATGCCTGCCCGTCAGCACTGGCAATGGGTGCAGCGGAGATTCAGGTTCCAAGTTCAGACCTTGCTGAAACGTCTGCCCCTCATTTGATGCTGTTGTTTCCCAAGCCCAACAAACGTTTGCAAAATGTTTGTTGCATCTCAGGTGAAGAGGAGTTGGAGACGCTTCTTTCCAAAGATGGTTTCAAAGAGGATGGTCAGGTTCGATGGCTCCTTTCTCAAGTCAAGATCGCCCTGGGCCACCTGAAAGATGACAAGGTCTGGGTGTGACAATTGTTTTTCTTCCTTTCAGTTTTTTTTGTTCAGATCCTGCGTCTTTTTGGCAGGTGAAAGAGACTGTTGGATTCACCATGGCTTCTGACGCAGAGAAGATGATTGACGCCAAGAAGGAACAAGATGCCGAGGATGAATATCATGAATGCTTGCGAAAACGCTGGCGCGAGGACGAGGGCATGTTTCCTGACCATTGTAGCTCTTTGCCGAAAAGACTTCGGCATGTAGGAGAGACGACGTTTAGCTTTCTTGCAAGTGCTTCTGACTAGACTAGTAAATAATTAATTCACAGTGGATCAGTTGTTTTCCTTGCCAACTGCCACCTGCACCCCCAACCGCCGTGAGACCACGCAATTATCACTTGCAAAAAATGCTGTTTGTTTGGCGCTTTCATGGCTTCAGTTCCCTCACAGCCTGGCCCTATTTGAAATCAAGGCAAAAAGGGCTCTGGTTGGAAGGGACAAGTTTGTCACTGTGAAAGAACTGCACGCCGACATGTTTGTTTGTCAATCTATTTTGACTTGATCTGACTTTGCGCATTTTTGGGTTCAATCCAAGCGAAATAGGTGTGATGGAGCAGCAGCCTGACTTCAAAGTCGGTGGCTATGATGATGCAGCACATCTGAAATTTTGTTCTTCAGGTGTCCAGAAGTGTGCCCGATGTAAATGGGCAACCTACAAAACGCAATGGCAGAAAGACCTGCCATGGATAGATTCCAAAGTGGATATGGAGACTGGCCAGTGGGGCATTGGCTGCCGGCTCTGCCATGAGTCTCAGCAAGTGTCCCCTGAAGTCATGTCGAAGTTTCCCGTCAGTAGACACCATTTCGCAAGATTCGAAGTGAGCAGTGGAGAGATTCGCATGGCCCGTTTTCGAAAGCATGCAGACTCACCTGCTCACAGAACAGCTGTGAGCCTGGCATCTGGCAAAGTTTCACTGCCAGAAATGGAAGGATTTTGTCCGACGCATGCTGAGTGGATGTCCGTGCTGGAGCATTCCAAGCCCAATGACTGTCCTGCTGATATCACAGATGTTGGCAATAGGGGAAAAGTTCACATGATGCGATGGTGCCTGAGTGAAGCAATCAGGCAAGCGCAGCGGGCCTTCATGCAAGATGCCCTGTGTGTATCCCTGCAGCAAGATGCACGTGGCCGAAGATTCCTTGTCCGCTTCCGCGCAGTGAATTCCAAGTTGAAAGTCTGCACAGGCACTCTTCAGCTGACAAAGATCACTTACAGCCCGGACACTCCAGGAGCCCAAGGCATTCGACAAATGACACTGAAAGCTTTGGAAAATTTTTGCAGACCAAGTACTCCTCCAAGTTACAGCGGTCTCACGTCTGAAGGAAAGCAGGAAAAGGAAACCGACTACGCCTTGCTTCGGCATCTCACCCAGAAAGTGGAGTGCATGGCAGCAGACGCAGCAGCTGACGAACAACTGGCTCTCCGAGACCTAGCCGGAATCAGCGGGCCAAACGTTGTGGAATTGCAAGAAGTCATGAGCCAAGCGTTTCCAAACTTGAAGGCTCCCAGGGTTTTTTTTTACAAAGAAGAAATTGAAATTCTAAGAGTTTAAAGTTCCAAATCCCTTGTTCACCCTGAGGTGCTGGGAAAAGACAGAGCTCATGCCGCTCAGAGGATGTTGTCCCGTCCTTGGTCCGCAGATGCTGTCCTGAAGGAAGTGGTTGGGCATTTCGTGGAAAAGCCGCAATCCATTGCAAGGCTGATTAACAACAGTGAAGCTGTCAAGGATTTGTATGGCAATTTCCGAAAGAAAACTGACGAACTTGTTCCCATCAGCAAGAATATCCGAGATTTGGCGTTTGCGCCGCAGAGGTACAGCTCGGAATCCAAAGTGCTAGCCAGGCTGGTGCTGACATGGGATGCAGTCCTCGGTGTTCTCACTGCTTTGCCAGAAATCAGAGGCAGAACTTCAACTGAAGGGAATGCATGTCTTGAAACATTGGCCTTCTTGACGCCGGAGAAAGCGCTCCTTTTGGCCATGCTGGCCGATGCAGCCCTGGAGCTCCACCGTGTCGTAAGAGCATTCGATGCAGAGGAGTGCGACGAAAGTGAGCTCCCATATGAGCTCGACAGGTATCGCTCGGTGATCCGCAAGTTGTTCATCGAAGGAGTTTGCCTGCATGTTGGCTTGACCAAGCTGATGCTGAAACATCTTGACAAGCAGAAACTGTTGCTCTCCGCTGGTTTTCGCTGCACTTTTGGAGGGCCAGGGACTGTCACGCAAGATGTCAAAAGCAATTGCCTCAAGAGAATGGCAGCGTATGTAGTTGTCACTGAGTCTGTCCTTGAGGGTGAGTTCCCCAGCTTCCAGCTTGTATCGAGCCTGCGCGTCTTCAGTTTGTCTGATTCATCCAGGACACAAAAGCAATTGGAGTCTGGAGAAAGAAACAATTGTTTAGAAAAGATAGCAGAAGCAATAGGCATCGATTCAGAAGCGCTGAAATTCGAATTCCAGCATTTCCACGCCATTGCTGAGAAGATGGCCGGAGTTGAAGGCATGCAGAACTTTGCTGCATGGAGCGCAGCTATTGCGCGTACATCCAAGAGCCGGATGCACAGTGCAGAAGCCATCATCCCGGCGCTGGCGAGACTCGGCTGCTGGTCGTGTAGTTCCTCTGGTGTCGAACGCGGCTTGGGGGCAGCCCAAAATTTGAAGCAATTGGGGCAAAGTCAAGATGACCATGTGACTGGTGAAGAAACTTTGCTGATCCTACATCAGGATGCCAGCAGCCACGATCAGAAGACCCTGATCGCAGCCGCGAAAGACTTGTGGGTGAAGAACTGCTCACGAGTTCGTAGCAGTGGTCAGACCAAGCGGGTACAACGATGGGATACCGGAATTCAAAGGACAGCTCCAACCCCCTCTGTAGCTTTTTTGAATTAGGAACAATTGTTATACAATCTTTCATGATTTTTTAATTTGATGACGCTGGGTAGCCCCTCCAGGAAGCGTCTCAAAGACGGAGAGGCAGGTTTTCTGCAAGGATGCCAGCTAGTCAACGATGAACTCGCAAAAAGTTCGTCGTCGACTTCACTGCCAAAGACGCTGACGACAGCGGACAAGATTGCAGAAGTCTTTGGGGAGAAGCAGTTGCGAGAAATTGCTTTCAGCAACGAGAAGGAGAAGAAGGCTCGCATCGAAGAGCTGCTGCTTGGAGTGGTGCGACGAGAAGACATCACGCCTGAAATGGTGGCCCTGGCTGAAGAGTATGCAGGTAAGGTTGCCAAGATTCAAAGAGAGAGGAACAATGACCAGAAAGTCATCCAGAACAAAGTGTCCCAGAAAGCAGTTCCTAGGATGCTGTATTGAATTTGAATTTATTAGCGACATTCTTCTTATTTAATTTCCACACGCATGCACACACACAGATTGATATATACGCACATCAGCACACAAACGCACAATGATGTCAACTGTCAACCGAGGCTGCCTGGTCAGACGATTTGCCCATCTATGCTGATCCAGGATGCAACGCTGTTCTGCCTGATAGTGCGGTCCTCGCCCCTAATTTGCACAGCGGTCGGATCTTTGTCGTTTCCGACCCTTGCAATTGCAATGAGGAAGTTCGCTTCATGGCTGGCCTGGTGGGCGGCTTGTTGGCCTCCAAGGACTTTGTCGAATCCAAGGGCGTCAGAGGTGTTGCGCTAGCTTTTAAGCCAGCGATCAAGACCAAGAGGCATGTTTTCGTCACGCCCGCGTTTATGCGGCGGCATGCACAGCTTTGCACAGAGTTCAGTAGCATTTTGCAACTTCAAGATTGTAATTTCCAATTGCTCAACCGAGCATCTTTGCAAGACATGATTGGCAAACTGAATGTCAGCAGAGCCCGGCAATTGTTGATTCTGAGATCCGATGCAGGAGACGAAGTCTTTCCTGAAGCGGTTCGTTTGGTCTTTACTTTGTCCGAGGCAGTTGATCATTTTGTTTTCTGTGCAGAAGATAAGAGCCGCAGCCGGAGCGGCATCGCAGCTACTTACTGAGCATGATTTGCGCCAGATCCATGTCGAAAAAGTCCGCTGTTTTTTTCAGAGGCGCTGATTTCTCTATCATTCTTGTCATGCTTGTTTTGTGGAAGGGAGTCTTTCGCCAAGTGTTCTCACTAGAGAAAAGCTCCATGCCTATCCGGGAAGGATGCCTTTCTTTTCGCACAAGGCTCCTCACCACAGAGAAGCTGCCACGCGTATCTGGAAAGGATGCCTCTTGTTCCCACTGGGGCTCCTCACCAGAGAGAAGCCGCCATGCAGATCTGGAAAGGACGCCTCTTGTTTCTACTGAGGCTCCTCACCAGAGAAAAGCGACCGTGCCTATCTGACAAGGAGGATTTTTTTCTCCTAGCAAGGTTCTTGACCACGGATTCTTTTCACACCAAGGCTCCTCACCAGAGGGCAGTCACCATGCACATCTGGAAAGGAAGCCTTTTTTTATAACCCAGAGAGCCGCCAGTCGAGTTGAGTGAGTTGAAAAAAATCAAGTACTCATCACACTCATTTTCTTCACTTGGACATTTTGAATCTAAATTCTTTAAGGGCGGCAGGAGATATGTCTCATTTTTCCTATGCAGCCGTGTTGCACTTCAGAGCACTCAACCCCCCTACAAGTGTGACAAGCTGCCATGTTGCGGCTGGTGCGCCTCATGTGGCTCCTGACCTTGCCGCTGCTCCTGCTGGCTGGCAAGGATCCTGAGAAGGAGCCTGACGGCCCGCCAAGCTTGCCGTCTACGTTCGGTGAGCTCTGGCAGGTTCTATGGCGCGCCGGGGTACGGCCGCACAATGTGCCACCAGTCGCCCCCGTGCCCCCGACAGTGCCGCCCATGACGCCGCCGACAGCGATGCCAACCCCAGTGGCACCTGTGGCGCCCATGACGACACCGGCAGCGATGCCAACGCCACTGCAACCTGTGGCGCCCATGATGATGCCGCCGCCCACGGCGCCAACAATGCCAGTGGGAAGTGTGCCCATGGGAAGTGTGCCCATGGGCCCGATGGCTCCAATGGGCTTACAGCCGCCGATGCCAATGGCGCCGGCAATGGGAGTGTCTCCGCCATGGAGGGCGCATGCGGCTGCCACGCCTGCTGGCAATGGCACAGCCACCAGGCCCATTGAGGTGCCGGACGATGAGAGCAAAAACCCAAAGAATGGGAAAGGTGCCAGTGCTAACCCAACCTTGGGTCTCAGGCGTTGCAAGGTCTGCAACGAGATGGCGTACTCTGCCCGTGGGGTGTGCATGAACACTGGCTGCGTAACTTGGCCCAATGCAATCAATGATCTTTCTATTTTTTTAGTTGCCCCATAATTTTGAAATTGTAAGCTTATAGATGGTCATGTACTCATCTACGTTATTTGTAGCCTGCTTCTTTTCTAAGGACCTCTACAAAGCCCACTTCGAAGCCAAGTGGCCACAGCACCACAGAGGAAGCCGTGGAAAGAAGAGACCTGTCTGGCTCGAAAAGAAGAAGCAAGAGAAGAAGGGCCGCTGGAACACCGAAGAGGACGCAGAGGACGAGTGGGCCGACTGGACGGACTGGCACTCAGGGCCAACAAGTGAGCGCAGGGACGATGACTGGAAGTCATGGCAGGACTGGGGGAGCGGCAATGGCCAAGGTCGTTGGACCTGGGCGTGGGTGTGCTAAGCGTCACCCGGTGTCACGCCGCGACTTGCGCCAGAAGATGGCCGTGAGCTAAGGCGTGGAAAAAGTTGCTTGCTGAGCCTGCTGCAGGGTTGCGGTGTTTTTAGTTGCTCCTGCTCCGAAAATCGGTGAAGGAAGCATAAGAGGACAGAGCTCCTACAGAAGGAAGCCGCTGGCTCCTAATGAAGTGAGCTATATCATGTGCTAGGGTAACATGTTATCTTCTGGGGAAGGAGACTAGTGCTCCTAACCAAGAATGGCACGCAACAGAGAAAACTTTTTGGAAGGAAGTTTTTTGCAGTAATATACTTCCTGCCAATAATATCATTGGCTCCTACAGTCCACCTGGCAAGGAAATGAGATAAGTAAGGAAGCTTTGAACTGTTCTGTCGTGCGCTTTGAGGACCCTACTAAAGCCATCCCCTACTAATGCCAGAGAGCAGCGTGACCGCCATGTCTTACACGGTTGGACCATGCCGAACACAGCAGCTGAATACGTATTTAGCCGCCGTGTTCTGACATGGTGTACCATGTGCTCACACAGCAGAGATGTTTAATAAAGAAAACAACTCGCCGTGTGGAGGCACGGAAGACCATTCCTTAGCACCAACAGTGAATACGTATTTTGCCGCCGTGTTCTGGCATGGTTTACCATGAGCTCACATGGCAGTCTTGCCCTGGAAGCTCTCTAAGTTGACCTGGCATTAGTACGGGTCGTGAGCATGGCAAGCAAATACGTGTTCATCATGCACGCCTGCCCGGCATTAGTACGGGTCGTGAGCACGGCAAGGAAATACGTATTTATCGCTTATGTCTTGTCCGGCATTAGTACGGCTCGCGGGCATGGCAAGAAAATACGTATTTATCGCTTATGTCTTGTCCGGCATTAGTACGGTCCGGCGGCAATAGTACGGCTCACCGCCTAGGCCATATTTTGTCTACATGGATTCATGATCATGGTCCTGTTGTATAGCTTCTATGTTTTTGTGAGACCGATGCATTGTTGATTGTTATATTTCTTTCCAGAAGTTTTCAGCCGACAAAGTAGTCGAAGCAAAGCCTTCTGCCAGACCTTGCCTTCAGCCTCAGCCATGAGCAAGCGTGGTCCTGCAGGCGCCGCTGCTCCAAAACAGAAGGCAGCGAAGGCAGCCGCAAAGGCTACTACTACTGCTGTGCCTGCAGCAGGCTCTCCTGAAGCTTTGGCTTTGGCTTTGCCACTGCAGCAACCTAGTAGTGTGAACGCACAGGCCCTGACTCTGAACGGCAAGATTTGGGCCACTCACCTTGAGAATGTCCGTGTTTTCAAAGAGCAGGCAGTGTCGGAGGACTTGGTGCAGATGAAGCCTCTTGACCGCAGTTTTGCCCAGGTCTTCGACGAGAATGCTGCCTTGGAAAGCCTCAAGCGAGATGGGAAGTACATGTGCTTGATCAACCTCTTGTGGCTTGACCAGACTTGGTCACCGACACCCCAGATTCCGATCAACAAAGGCGCAGTCGAGCAGATCAAGACTCACTGGTTTGCACAGCCATGCGGCATGGAATCGCAGCAGGTCACGGTTGGCATCTTGAAGCAAGAAATGGATAGCAAGACCTTCCCCGCCTCCGGCACGTGGAAGAGACTCAGCGCAGAAGAGAGCATTCTGGCGTTCTTTGAAGCTGCAAGCGCTGAAGCGGCCAAGGTTGCCGAGGGTGCTTCTGACCTACTTTTGCAGCAGTGGCTCAACCACTGTCTGACCTGCCCAGTGCTGATCCGAGTGGTCTCTGACGTGAATGAAATGGAATGGGCTGCCCAGCAATTGCGTGAGGATATGACGCAGTTGTCTTTCCTGCAAAGGACCCCGACTCAGCGCATCTTTGATGTGATGCAGAAGCGGGACTCCATGGGCGTTTCCTACACTCCGGAGAGCTTGATCCAGCTCTATAGCAGCAAGATCCACTTGAGCGCAAAGTCGGAGAAAATCACCAAAGGACCGCTTAAGAAACATTGTTTGAATCTGTAGCTGCTATATCCTTCTTTTTTTTACATGATACCGGGCATGGAACGAAACAAATCTACATGTTCATGTTTAAAATAAAAGGGGTTGATTCTTTTCGGGCAGGCTTCCTGCATCACTCTTCAATTGTCATGGACCGAGCCTTGCGGCACCCACACATTTTGGAAGTGATCTTGAGTGAAGAAGGCACTGGTTCTGGCATTTGGGACGCTGTGAGCAAGTTGCATGCCGTGTGCAGCAAATCTTCCCGGCAAGAAGAGGTTGCATGGATGTTTCATCACATGCATGACTCCAGAGTGGCAGGGCTTCTGGATCCAAACCAGTCTGTGAGATTCTTCACTGGTGAGGGCAGGCCCGGTGGCAAAGGCCATTGCGACCTTCTGCTCTACAAGCTGAGGTTTCGAGACTACATGGTTGGAGATTTCCTTCTGAGCACTGAAGCCAAGGATTTGCCAGAGAAGTACCGCGTGTCTTTGAAAGAAGTCTTTTCCTCGCACGCAGCTTTCCGAGCAAAGTTTGGTTTCCCAAGTAATCCCAAGGATCTGTCCTGGAAAGCCGGCTGGTCCCGCTCCGCAGATCACATTCTGCAATTGGTTCAGGACCGTGAGTTTCATCATTTTTTTCATGATGCAACCCTTGCCCCTGAAGTATTTGAATCCATCTTGCCCCTATCCAAGCTATCATCGTTCATGCATAAGACATAGGACGTGGTCTTTGGCATTACTTTCGACGACAACTTGAAAGCCGCGCTGGTTGCTGGCAAGTCTCCCTTGGATGCGCTCAACATGGACACCAAGCTTGGGGAGCGCTACTCTGGGTTCAAGACCTTCCTGCGCCACGAGCTCGACGAAGCCAGGGCAGAAGCATCTGCAGCAGCCCGAACTCAAATGCAAGGCGAAGAGGCTGAGAACCAGCGAGATGACTCAGGCAAGCCTATCCGCAGTGGTGCTTACAAGGCATTCCTGGAGGATGTGCAAGCCCGCGTTGGCGAGATCAAGAAAGAAGAGTTGCTTGACAGCATCCAGTACTATGAAGACAAGGCCCGAAATCTGCTGGCTTCGAATGTGCAGATGTTTGTCTTTCCCAGCTCAGAGAAGGAATTGGGTGAACTGTTGGAGAAAACTGCAGCTGCCCAAGCACGTGGCGCTGGCAAGTCTTTCGTTGGCATCCTCTGTGATCCTGCCCAGTGGGGGGAGGCAATCACCAATCCTCACATCCGAGTTTGTCCCTTGAACATGCAGTACTTGAAGACTTTCCTGTCGGCTGTGATCAAGAACCGCGACAACCAGCAGTTGAGCATCCATAGCAGGGATTTGTTCATCTACTTTGATTCTTTCTTGCCCGGAAATCTTCCCAAATGGTTGGGAGCCTTTCAGACCGGAGGCGGTGATGCCATGACCAAGCAGTCTTTCACAGTCTTCGTCAGCTATGATGAAGATTCTTTGACGCAGCGCCGCCAGTACATCAAGGCCAACACAACGACTTTCCAGCAGATCGAGCAGATGTCCCTTGTTACGTCTGAGTCTTTCGGAGATTGCATGACCAAGCAGAACCGGAAGCACTTCAAGGGCTCCAACTTTGGAAACAAGATCGGCGATGTTCTCCTGGACAGCCCTCAAACGCTGTGGTCCATGACCTTGAAGGACATCAGTTTTTTTTTCTTACTTTAACCCGTCTAAGTCTATCATCTCTCATTGATTTTTTTGTGTTTGCAGGACAAGGTCACTCTCTTTGGAAAGTTCCGTGTTGCTGTGGGCGGTCGCACAACTGGAGAGTCCGAGAGCCACCGGGGTGTCACCTCGCGCAAGTTGACCAGTCAAGAGCCTGTGTTTTGGCACAGCCGCCCCATGACTTTGTGCTTGGAACTGCTGAGTTCCTACAATCTCTGCGCTGTGCTGGACGCCGGCGTCGGAGACGGACAGATGGCTTTGGCTGCTGCCCTGCAGCGTGTGCCGTACGCAGGAGCCTGCTTGACTGAAGAGCACATGGCCGCTGTGACGGAAAGGGTTGTCTGTCAGATCATGCTGAAGATGCTGCACAGCAATGAGCCGGTCTACGAGGCCAAGTTTGCAGCCAGTTTCTTGCCAAGAATTCAGCATCGTTGCGGTTATATAGATTCAGAAAAAGTATTTCGGATGTACAGTTGGATATTCAATACCCTCGCCTCAAATCCGTGAACTCCTTCTAGCTTATTAACATCCATTTTTAAATATCCATTTTGTTTTTTGTTATCCAAGGTTTGGGAGGAGATCGATCCAGGGCGTCCACTGCTGCCGCGACAGCGCCACCACCAAGCCAGCCCAGCGCCCAAGGAAGCTCTGAGGCAGTTGGCAGTGGCAGCGCCACTGGCAGTGGCAGCGGCACAGCTGCCGATGTTCTGTCCGAGTTCCGCAACCAGTTGGCCAACTTGAGCCAGTCCTGAGAGAGCAGCTTGGAGACAAGACCCTAACACTGGGCAGTTTTGTTTTGACCTGACTGTTGTGAGGCCCCGCTCCGCGACCATTGGGGCAAACAGATTCAGATCTTTTGAGAGTAGTGCCATCCTTTGAGAGTAGTGCCGCGCTCAGATCTATCCAGGAGTGCAGCGCAAGTGGCACATAAAGCAGGCTGACTGAAGCAGCTGGCCTTATTTCTTTCGGTTGTCGTGTGTGACATCGGTTTTGCCTTTTTTTTTTGCGCTAACTTACCCTTGTGATTTGTGACTGCAAGATTTTCAGCACTAGGTCGCTAACTGTCACTGTCCATGGGGAAAGCCAGGGGCAATGGACACGCAACGGCAGTAGCTCCAAAGCGAGCAGCTCGGAAAGTTGAGAAAAGACCTGCCTCCAAGGGAGGCAGATTCAAGGCTACCAGGTCTAAGAACACGCTGCTCCCTGCCCAGCCTGAGACAGTCGAACTCTTACCTGTGCTGCCTCCAAGTTCTGTAGTTGAAGTGACCTTGGCATCTGATTGCTCTGGTCTTTGCACAGAAGGGCCAGCAGTGCGAGTCAATTTGCCTGCCACAGTCAACGTGAAGCACGTCTACGCCTCTGAGATTGAGCCGAAATTTAGGCCCATATGTTTTCAAAAATGTTTGTTTCCAAATTGTTTTTTCTTACTATCATCACCCTGAAGGAATTTCATTACTCAATTTGTGGAGCCTCAGTACCTGGAGAACAACATGGAGAACACGCAGCATCTTCAGCCTCTTTGGTTTGATGTTGATCTCTACACAGTTGGCAGCCCTTGTCAACCTTGGAGTGTGGCTGGTGGCAAGGACGGTGCTTCAGATCAAAGAGGCAGTCTCATGGCCTTGATCCCCTTCCAGATCAAAAAGCATAAGCCTCGCAGCTTTGTGTCCGAGAATGTGAAAGGTCTTATGAGCCTCTTTCCCAACGAGTTCAACTGGCTGATTCAGAATTTGAGAGACATTGTGCTTCCCAACGGCCAGCCCTGTATTTAAGCTGCGTTATAATTCTTTTCTTGTTTTGTATTATCGTTTGATTTTTGACTGCCCATGCCAGCGGCCTTGATTAAGCGGCTGCAGGCTACAACGTCTACTACAAGCTAGTGGACACGCAGGATTTTGGAATTCCACAGCACCGAGAACGGGTCTATGTCATCGGCATTCGTAGAGATGTGCAAGTGAAGCAGTTTGAGTGGCCATTGGCGTGCAAGGAGAGGCTCACACTGAAGCAGCTCCTAGGCAACCCCGCCACAAGTGAGAAGCGCAACTTGCAGGAAATGACGCATGATGCCGATGGCTTGGCTCTTAGCAACACCGTCCGCAAGAATTTGAAACAGTTTCAAGAATTTCTTGAAAAAAATCCTTCCAAGCGAGACCTTGACTTCATAGTTAACACAGGTGGATCAAAGGCAACTTGGATGCAGGACACGTGCCCTTGTCTCACAGCAAGCCGGTGTAAAGGAAAGCATGGATATTGGTGGCATCAGGGCCAAAGGTTTTTGAAGCCACGAGATTTTTTCTTGCTTCAGGGCATGTGGCCTGGGGCATATGGGCGTAAAGATGTTGCGCAATGTGTTCCAGCAAGCGTGTTAGGCAACATGCTTGGAAATGCCATGAGTGCTGGTGTGCTGAGACTCTTAGCGCACTGCATTTTCAAGGCACGTGGCATCCTTTAAACGCGAAAAGCACTAGACCCAGCAGAGTTCAAAAATCAATGTTTGTCAGCCTCCCAGCAGAGTTCAAAAATTAAGACTTGGTCAGCCTCTCCAGAAACCAAGCGTGTTTTTTTTCCCATGTTGTATCGCTCACAGGTTTTTGGCTCTCATCCAGGTTTGAACTGACAAAGTAGTTCAGTAACATGGCAGCAGCTCGTCCTGCCAATGCCAAGCCCCAAGGTGTCCTGGCGAAAGCTGACCTGCAGCTGGGCATCCGTGCCTTTCTGCAATGGGACCCCAACCTGAGGGCAAAGAGTGAGCATGAACTTGAGAACGCTCGTGAATGTTTGCTTTTCTGCCGGCAATTTTTTGTCGAAGACAGGACCAGATCCGTGGCGCTTGCCCAGGCAATCTTGTTCCTTACAATCCTGCAGAATTCATTGAACTATCCTGAGGATGAACTGGTAGATGTGCCATGGACCGCTGACTATTACGACAAGAACGTAGAAATCCAGGCTTTGCAAAAGAAAGTGAAACAATGCGTGGCTTTGAAGTCAAAGGCTGGCCTGGAGAGAAAAATTGATGAGGTGGAAAGCGCTGCTTTGTTCATTGCAAGTGCCATGGGAGCCATTGGGTCAGGAATTCCCCAGGCAGCGCATTTGCAAGGCTCCGCTGTTTGCCTGGACGACTTGTACGTGCACTTGGAGTTTCGCTTTGCAAATTTGGAGACTTAGTCTTGACGCTGCTGTGGCCACTGCCTTTGGCATGATTTTTTGACATGGCTGAGAGACGACTAGATCTTTGGAAGGGTCAGCAAGTTTGAGCTGTCAAAAAGAGTTGTTTGATTGCCGTATGCCTGTAAGGGCTTGAGTTGGGCAAGCTTGCCCGCTCCGCGACCAGCAACTCAAGGAGGTCTTTTTCAACAACCCTCCTGGGAATACAGTGTGCATTGCATAGCTTCATGCAAGGCAGGCCGCCAATGAGGCCTCCTGCTGCAGCTGTCAAGGAAGGCATTGCCTCCTGATAGTAATCTAATGGGAGGCGCCGCTACTTGGTTATAGCAGTTTGTTGGAGGGCGCCACCGTGCAGAGCGGGGAGGGGCTCTGCACTTAAGCACAAACAAAAACAAACATCTACAACCTACATACGATCATATTGCAAGCTAGCTTTGTAGCCATTAGTTTTTTTATGTTGAAATGTACATGTATAAGATTGCTTTCTATTATTTGATTAAATGTAGATGCTGGTTTGGAAAATTAAAACGGAGAAAAACAAAACATGATATGTGTATGATTGGTGCAAGCACCAACAATCAGCACACAATCCCCAATTAATTCCACCCCAGTTAGGGGGCTGTGCAGGAGATTATCCTTGCAACACCGATCTCTTGGTCACCGATCTCTTGAGGTCACGATGCCAACTTACCCTGCAAGAGCTTCTAGCCACCATTGCCACTGAGACAGAGCCTCTAGGTATTGTGTCTTTGGAGCATGCCAGGAGACGTCTGGAACAACTTGGCGTGAGTGAAGCTTGGACATTCTTGCAAGAGAAGCAGACGGGAGCTGACAGAGCGGACACTCTGGAGGATCTGGGGGAGACTCTTCGAAACTTCCAACCACCAGACAGCTCTCACTCCCAGCCAGTACCTGGACCTAGATGTATTGGACGCCATCGAATCGTGCTTCGCGCCTTCAGCGGCAGAAGGCGCATAGGAGACATACAATTTACATTCCAAAGCGGCAGATGATACTTTGCTTCATGTTGTGTCTTTGGATTTGATAACAGATGCAGTTTGGGGGGACGCCACCAGACCGGCCACCAAGCAGTTTTGGCGACAAGCTGCGGATGATGGGCTGGTGCACGGCTTGTTAGCCGGACCCCCTTGCGAGTCCTGGTCGCAGGCCAGGTTTGTCCAGACCGGAACTGGATCAGGACGGCGTCCCATCAGATCAGCTGATTTCTTATGGGGGCTGGAATCTCTGAGTTTGCGGGGGTTGGCCCAAGTGATGATTGGGAACGACTTGCTGTTTTTCGCGTTAGACCTGTTACTTCGTCTTTACTTTGTGCAAGGATTTGGCGCGATTCAACATCCAGACGAACCAGAGGAAGCATTCAAACCCTCCATTTGGAAGTTGGCAATTTTGTCCCTGTTTCGAAGTCTTCCTGGCTTCGAGGAGATCCGGTTCGGACAAGGGCTCCTGGGCGCTAGCAGTCCAAAACCCACCAGGCTGCTCGCGTTGAATTTGCCTGACCTTCAATGCACACTGCGAGCTCATCATATCACCAAAAATCCACCGAAACGCTCCCCGATCGGATAGGACTCATCTGGAACAGGATTTTTGAAGGAATATCCACCGGCAATGAGTAGAGCTCTTGCCGTGGAGTTCCTTGCATGGTTTGCGCGGCAGGAGACGGACAACACACTGCCGTATGACATCGTATGACATGCCCTTCCTTGCCAGGTGCCAGCTCATGAATGCACAGGAGCTGACGCATCACAGTGGCAAGGACTACACTTCGAAGTAAGCGTAAAGAATTCAAGCTCGCAGCGTTGTCAGACTCTATGTGCGGGAAAAATATATATATATATATAATTTATATAGGAATTTTGAAATCCTCGTCACGTTTGCATCTACAGATCTGTGCACACAATACATCGAAAGATTTGAGACACACTTTGCAGTTTCGACACTGTTTTCGACTGAAACGTAATGAATCGTAACGAAACGTAACGAAATGTAACACTATTTCTTCAAAAAACGTGACTTGTCGATGCTCTTTAGCAATCCGGAAATGTTCAGCTTCATTGCTCGGAACCCCTTTGAGATTTCACCCCAGCACTCAGCATGAGATCGTGCATGAGGTACAGACATAAGGCCTTGTTAAGGCCTTGTTAAGGCCTTAAAATTACGTGAAAAAAGTTCAAAATATACGATTTTGGCTTTTTTCCGGAAACTGTAATGTATGCAGTTGCATCCTGTTGCATCCTTATTTTGGCCTTGTGGAAAGATAAGGAAACATATGCACATTTTCTATGTTCATAGAAACATGTTGGTTCATCAGTTGGGCTGAGCTGACGTCAGCAGTGCGACCATGGAGTCCTGCCCCTCTGGCGGATACTGAAGCTCCTGAAACAAAGTCCTCGCTATTTGATCCAGATTTGATCCAGTTGCACATAGCGAGTCCCGTCAGGGGCCAGACATCACCATTGGGTTTCCATTGGGTTTCCATATGGCGCCCATCGCTGCAACCCATGGGGTTCTATCAGGAAACTCTGATGTCAAGTCCCCCAAAGTCGGCCTCATGCGACCCAAGGCCTCTTCTTGGCGGAATTTCTCCTCCATGCCTTTGGCCTTCGTTGCTGGAAAATGGATTCCAATCTTTATGAATCATGGGGGTCTGTGGACGTAAGGGCGCACATCGTTGGTTATGTTTCGGACACAACAAACAAACACGCGCGGACTTCGGTAACGGTTCATGCCACGGCGGTAGCAGTGGCAGTCAAACCAAGCGAGGTTCAGTGCGCATGTGGCACACGGACATGATAAGTGATTGCCAAAGTGTTGCCAGTCTCAGGTGGACGGCCAGGAAAATTTGTGTACAAAGGGGTTGCAAACCTTCAGCGTATCCAAGACTTGAGCGAGAACTCGGTGAAGCCATAGAACTTTGCTGACTGCAAGCACAAAACTAGACGACGGATGGCCCGAGAGCGTAGAGGAGCAGGGTCTTCTCTTGTTAGTATGGAGACACAATTTTACAAACAATATATGAAAGATGTGTTTTAGGCAGTCGAGAAGAGGAGTATCAAGACAAAATAGTGAGAAGTGCAAGACAATAGTTTGCATCGCAAACACTTTTACACACAGAAGCTTTTACACACAGACGCTTTTGCACACAAAAGCTTTTACACACAGAAGCTTTTACACACAGAAGCTTTTACACACAAAAGCTTTCACACACAGAAGCTTTTACAGACAGACACTTTCACACACAGACCCTTTTACACACAGGCGCTTGTACGCACAAAAGCTTTTACACACAGAAGCTTTTACACACAGACGCTTTTACACAGACGCTTTTACACACAAAGCTTTTACCCACAGAAGCTTTTACAGACAGAAGCTTTTACACACAGACGCTTTTACACAGATGCTTTTACACACAGACACTTTCACACACATACACTTTTACACACAGACACTTTTAACAAAGACCCTTTTACACACAGGGGCTTTTACACACAGAAGCGTTTACACGCAGACGCTTTTACACACAAACGCTTTTACATACAGAAGCTTTTACACATAGACGCTTTGACACACAGACACTTTTTCACACAAACACTTTTACACAGATACACTTTTACACCCAAACACTTTTACACACAAACATCTTTACACGGAAACACTCTTACACACAAACCCGTTTACACAGAAACACTTTTACACACAGAAGCTTTTACACACAGACACTTTTACACAGATGCACTTTTACACACAAGCACTTTTACACACAAACATCTTTACGCAGAAACACTTTTACACACAAACACTTTTACACACAAACATCTTTACACAGAAACACTCTTACACACAAACCCGTTTACACGCAAAGACTTTTACACACAGAAGCCCACACAGACACTTTTACACAGATGCTCCGGCACAAGTAAAATCGCAATTTTACCTCAGTTTTTGACGATCGACCATCCTTTCGTGCCAAAGGGTTGCTCCAGCACAAGTCAAATCGCAATTTTACCTCAGTTTTTGCCGATCGACCCTCATTTTGTGTGAAAGGGTTGCTCCGGCACAAGTCAAATCGCAATTTTACCTCAGTTTTTGCCGATCGACCCTCATTTCGTGCGAAAAGGTTGCTCCAGGACAAGTCAAATCGCAATTTTACCTCAGTTTTTGCTGATCGACCCTCATTTTGTGCGAAAGGGTTGCTCCGGCACAAGTCAAATCGCAATTTTACCTCAGTTTTTGCCGATCGAGCCTCATTTCGTGCGAAAGGGTTGCTCCAGGACAAGTCAAATCGCAATTTTACCGCAGTTTTTGCCGATCGACCCTCATTTCGTGCGAAAAGGTTGCTCCGGCACAAGTCAAATCGCAATTTTACCTCAATTTTTGACGATCGATCCTCGTTTCGTGCGAAAGGGTTCACGTTTCGTGACTCCCCGCCGGCACCACCCTCGGCCTAAAGAGAGAAAGATAAAGAAGGCGAGAGAGAGAAAAGGGAGAGAGAAAGGAGAGAGGAAAGAGGAGAGAGAGTGAGAGAGAGAGAGAAGATGTGAAGATGAGAAGGTGTGAGAGAAGGTGTGAAGATGAGAAGGTGTGAAGAGAGTGAGAGAGAGAGAAGATGTGAAGATGAGAAGGTGTGAGAGAAGTTGTGAAGAGGAGCAGATGTGAAGATGAGAAGGTGTGAGAGAAGATGTGAAGATGAGCAGATGTGAAGATGAGAAGATGTGAAGATGAGCAGATGTGAAGATGAGCAGATGTGAAGATGAGAAGATGTGAAGATGAGCAGATGTGAAGATGAGAAGGTGTGAGAGAAGATGTGAATATGAGAAGGTGTGAAGATGAGATACAGACCCCCACTATTGGAAGAACCCTGCGCTCAGACGCTCTCGGGAAAAAAACTGGTGCACCGATCCACTGACATGATGGTCAAAACCTTGTAGCGTCAGAATGTGGGCATGGCGCCCGTCATGTCTGAATCCAAACCGCAGAACCACTAACAGATTGAAGACACAAGGACGTGACGTAAGCAGTGCAAAATGCTCTCGGCAGTGCAAAATGCTCTCCCGCAAAGTTCCTCAAAGCAAGACCAGCTTGCATGCAGGAAGGGCCAGGCTTCGGCTCTCGTGATGTATTCAACTCCAAACTTGTTCGGCATAAATGGCATTCCAAGTGAAGGTCCAGTCTAGTGGCTGTACTGTGCCAGCTGTACCAGGCATGGAGTTTGAACAAGCTGTTCCGAGCGATTTGTGTTCTACAAAGGCCATCGCAGGAACAGACTCAAGCAGCAAAGCATTGCATGACGTTGCAGACAAAAAAGGTGAAAGTGCTCTGAGCACAACTTGTCATTGTATGATGCAGCTGCTGCGTCCAAACGAAAAGGCTAACGGCTAACGCCATCCTGATGGCAGAAGGCATCAAAGAAGTTCACGCCATGATTGAACCGACCCTCAACCTTCTGCTGAACAGCTCTACCACTGGTAGGAGTTGAGCCGAGAGCTACAACAAACAAACAAAACCGTGTCTTCTTTTGATAGGGAGACATCAATTTTCACTGAGAAACGCTTTGCTCGTTCCATTGACCTGATGACAGGGGCATTTGGACCAATCAATTCGGATGTTATTATGACCTTAATCTAAGCATTAGGCATGATTTTGACATTATTGTTGGCTTATTTTTGGCTTATTTTGGAAAATTGTAATTTTACAAGGTATGCGATATTAATTTGACCTGAACCCAGAACTTCCATTCCTCCTTATTTAATTTAAGGAGTTTCTTTAAAGGAATTCCACCTTAATTAAGGAGGAATTCCCTTAATTATGGAGGATTGTTTCCTTAATTTTGGTGTTTTTTTTTGAAAATTCCTCCTTATGTTTTTTTAAGGAGGATTTTTTTGTACTATCATCATTGCATCAAGACCAACCTTTGGAGGTTGCTTCAAGGAGATGCAAGATCTCCTTTTGGTGTTTTGATTTCCTGCATGTAATGTTTGTGCATCGCATCTGCAGTTGATTTCTCAAGATGAGTAGAGCTAAGAACACTGCTTCTGTTCGAGACCTTTGCAAATGTTTGAAAGCAGAGGTGGCTTGTTTGGATCCCAAGTATTACTTGGATGTTGATCCTGATCAAGTTTGCAAGCATTATCGAAATTTTCTGGGCTTGATGTTCCAGAAAACAATTCGACCATCCAAAGACTGCTTGAAGGAAGCTGCCTTGAAAGTCAACCCTCGCATTTTGATTGACGAAGCGAAGAAGTGGTCTTCTGCAATTGTCGATGCTGTGCAACACATCAGAACAAAAACAAAATGGTCAATTTCCAGTAAGAAATATGAGCCTTGGATGGGTGACCTTGTGAAGATCTATCTGGAGCGCTCAGAATTCCATGGGAACCGGCAGAAAGGCAAGTTTGTTCAGAAAGCCATTGCCAAGCGAAGGCTCATGAGACAAAGTTCCAATGCGAGCTCCATCCCACAGTTGCCTGTGAATGAACCACTTTTGCAAAAATTTCCTCCAGGCTACAGCTCAGAAACATTGGATAGCCAAGAGCATCAATTGATAGAAGTGTCGAGTGAAGAGAGCCAAGCGAGTCCTAAGAAGCCTGTGAGTGCTGGAACCTGGATCGATTCTACTGCCATGGTGGTATGTCGCTTTGTGGATGGCAAGGTGGAGAAAGCTACTATGAGTGAAGGACCAAATGGCTTTGCCATTGCTGCTTTTGGTAAAAACAAATTTGAATCTGAAATTCCCAATGGATCTTTGAAGATCTCAAGGACTAGGCAATCTGCAGG